TTTTTTTTTTTTCAGTTGTAGTTGTCATTGTTTAGCAGACCTCAGCCGGGTTTGAATCCACCAGCCCCAGTGTATGTGGCTGATGCCCTATCCACTGAGCTACAGGCAATGAGCCAGTTTGCATCCATTTTAAAATATTAAACACAGATACGTGGGAGGCTGAGGCAAGAGAATCACCTACGCCCAGGAGTTGGAGGTTGCTGTGAACGTTATGACACCACAGCACTCTACCGAGGGCAATAGGGTAAGACTCTGTCTCTACAAAAGAAGATATGTATATATATTAAACATACCAGGCACAGTGGCTTGCATCTGTAATCCTAGCACTGTAGGAGCCTGAGGTGGGTGAATTGCTTGAGATCTGGAGTTTGAGACCAGCCTGGACAAAAGGGAGACCTTGTCTCTACTAAAAATAGAAAAACTTGGCTCAGTGCCCATAGCTCAGTGAGTAGGGCGCCAGCCACATACACAGAGGCTGGCAGGTTCGAAGCTGGCCAGGGCCTGCTGAACAACAATGATAAGTGCAACCAAGCAATAGCCCGGTGTTGTGCCAGGTGCCTGTAGTCCCAGCTACTCGGGATGCTGAGGCAAGAGACACTCTGTTTAATAATAATAATAATAATAAAATAATAAATAAATAGAAAAAAATAGAAAAACTGAGGCAAGAGCATTGCTTGAGCCCAAAAAGTGGAGGTTGCTATGATGCACTCTACCCAGGGCAACAGCTTGAGACTGTCACACACACACACACACACAAAAGTTTTCTTTTCTCTCAGCTAAGGCCAGTTTCTCCATTTGTGCTCTTGATCCCATCCCCAACTGCCTTTCCAACAACTTCACTCCTGCAATTACCTCTTTCTCTTTTGTAACATCTATTTCTCCCTTTCTATTGGATTCTTCCTTGTAGTATACAAAGTTGCCTTAACATCACTGAGCTGGATAAAACCCTCTCCTGATTTCACATCCTATCCAATGTCCAATTCTCTGCTTCCTTTACCAGCAAAATTCCTTATAAGTGTTGTCTATACTTGCTGTTTCCACTTCATCATCTCCCTTTTTTCAACTCACTCCAGTAGGATTTAACTCCCATCCCTCCACTGAAGGAGCTCTAATCAATCAAAATAATAACCATTGAGCTACATCTTTGCAAAGTCAAACACTAGGCCATTTTTTTGGTGGCAATTGTCATGTCGTTTAGCAGGCCTATGCCAGGTTCGAACCTGCCAGCCCCAGTGTCTGTGGCCGGCACCCTAACTACTGAGCTATGGGCGCCTAGCCAATGATCCTTTTTCTTGAAACACTCTTTCTTCAGATCTCTGCATGGTTGCCTCCTTATCATGACACCTCAACCTGTCATTTCCTGAGAAAGGCTTTCCATGACTAACCTGCTTACCCTCTCTACCTTCAATTTATCTCTACCAAATTATCCTCTTTTACTTTGTAGCCCTTAGGAGTGCCTAGAATTATTTTATCAGTTTATATTTTTATTGTCTCGTTCCTATTTCTAGAATGTAAAGACATTGAGGGAGGGATGCTGGCTCTGTTTTTTTATTGTAACACCAATGTTTAAAACACTCCCTGGCATAAACAGTTGCTCATCTTAAAGTCTGCCTGTTTCCACTAGTTTCCAATCACTAACACCCAAATACTCCTCAATCACTAACCTTCAAAAACCTCCCCCAATTCTGGAATGTACAAGTTCCCAATTATCATTCTCCACAGAACAATTATTAGCTTCCACAGACCTCCAATCACTGACTCCTATGGAACCCTCAATCACTAAGTCCTGCAATTCCCCCAAATTCCTGACCCTGTCAGGTTCCTAGTCACAAAATCATAGAGGATATATAATCATTATTGCTGCTAATCACCTCATCACTGTAAGCAGTTATGACTTCTGGACACCCGCTAATCATTGACCTGCATAAACCCCCAATTACCTTTCTCTCCAAATGACATCATCTATCACCCACAGAAACACCTCAACATTTACTCTCCACACTCCACCATCCACATCCGGTACTGATCCCCAGATTTTTCCATTACCATTGGCAGCAGCTAATCCCTGACTCTCAAAGATGTTGCCAATCAAATTTCCACAAACATCACCATCACTGAGACTCTTCAACAATCCCGTCTATAACCATCACAGGCATCCATCGAATCACGGACCCCCACAAATCTTCCCAATCTCTCACACATCACAAAGGGACCACTTCTGATCCTCATAACCTTTCAAACCCCGACTTTCAGTGACTGACAGAAGCCCCCCCCCCATCACTGTCGATGCAGATCCCTCAAGACACGGGGTTCCTAAAACTAAAACCCTGACCCCAAACACTTTCTCCCATCACCACCCCACAAATCCCACAGAACACTGACCTCCCAAAAGACCCTCTAGCATCGACTCCGCCAATTTCCAAACACCCATCGTCACAGATTGCAATAACCCTCCAATCACTGCCCCCTCTTTAGACCATCTTTGACAGCCAAACCATCCCGCTCCATCAGAGTCCTCACCGCGGCGCTGGCCTCGGGCTCGGACAAAGCCATTTCCAGTGGATGTCTGGCCTCTTCGGCCGTTCCCGCACTTCTCCTCCGGTCTATGGTCTCCGGCTTTGTCAGAATCTGGCCGCCGCTGGAGACCGATATGGCGGCTACCCGGAGAGCGGCCTCCGCTGATCCAGCCGCAGCGATGGCGGCACCCTTGGGTAATGGCCCTGGGCGCGGCCATCTTGGCAGAGACCCTAGCCGTACAGCGCAAACCACTGGCCTTGGAGATCAGCAGAGAGAAGCGGGGGGAAGAGGCGAGAGCGGTACTTGGAGGATCCTGGAGCGGTGGATGCGAGAGGGTGGAAACCCAGGTGGGTTACTTAGTGCAGGAAAGCCCTGGGACCCACAACCCATCCCTGGCGTTTAGACTTTTGCCCCGCAATGAGATTGTTTACAGAACTTGGAATTGCTTTGCAGAGTAAATCCGTGCAGCCAGGAATCGCAATGCCTAGTGCGGATTCCAGAATGCTGGGATGAGAGAAATTGGAGAAAGGGAAAAAACCTGATCAAGCAGATATCGTTTTGCAGGGAGAAGATATTAATCTTTGAGATATATGATTAAATCCTTGCATTTATGGTATAAGAAAAATGAGAAAAAATCTGAAAGGGAGGGTTAAGTGAGCACAGCACTCCCCAGCGCAAGCCTCGATTTGGTGGAGATATTTGAGCAGAAATAATTTCTCAAAGTGCTATTTCATGTGTTAACTGCATTCATTGAGCAATCATTTGTTGAATATTTATACAATTGTTGCAGGTTGGTGTATGTTGTGCTAGGTACTGGGGAAAGAGTGGAGATTTCATGCTCAGCCTTCCTTCCCTGCTGTAATTGGCAGAGAGGTGGTGAAGTTATCCCAAATATGTTGTTCCTTGTTCCAGAGTCAAAAACACCCTACTTGGCACCTTCCACTTGGATGAATAAAGGAGTAATTATTCCTCAGTCAGTAGAGGATGCATCTGCTGTCTTTGACCTCTAAATCTTTTATTTGAATATAATTTTCAGTGCTTCTTCACTGAGCTCATAAGAAAGACTCCCTTAGATTGCATATCCTCTGGGCAGTGTCTGCTTAATTTCCCTACTCTACTACTGAATTTTTTTCCTAACTTCTTTTGTTCCTCAAATCACCTTTATATGTTTCCTATGTATTCAAAAACAATTCCAACAATGTTTTTTTCCTATTCTCTGACATAAACTCTAAGACCTAGCAAAGTATGTTGTAAATATTGTTATAAACAGGATTCTATCTCTCCTTTTTGACATCCCCTTTCTTTGAGTGCCATAGGAAACTGTGATTTGAGGGGATATCACTCACATGCTTAGATCCCAAATCAGGTGATGTTAATAAAAGAGGAGATTTTCCTGGGTGGCCCTGATCTAAAAATCAACTGAGTCTTTAAATGGGATTGGACCCTTCTTAAAGTCAGAGATTCCAAATGTGGGAGGACTTGTGACAGAAGCCACATGGGTGCTGAGAGTGGATTTTTGGTTTACAACTAGCAAAACAAGAACCTCTGTCCTACAACTGCAGAGAAATGATTTCTGCTGACAATATAAGAGAACTTGGAAGCATATCTTTCTCCAGTGGAGAAAGATGGTAAATTAGGATACAGCCCAACCCACATCCTGATTCCAGCTTTGTGAAACATTGAGCAAAGAACCCTACTGTACTAGTCAGTGTTCTCCACAGAAACAGAGCAAGTGGGATATATAGATGTATGAGGCAATTTATTATGTGAATTGGCTCATTTGATTATGAAGGCTGAGAAGTGCCATCATGTTCTATCTGAAAGGTGAAAAACTGGGAAAACAGATGGTATAAATCAGTCTAAATCTGAAGTTCAGAGGTGGCCAGTAAGGGAGGGCAGGTGTAAGTCCCAGAATCCATTAGCCCTAAACCAGGAGTTACTATGTTAGAGGCAGGAGAAGATGAATGTCCTGGCTCAAGCAAAGACAGAATTCACCTATCCTCTACACTTTTGTTCTGTCAGGCCTTCAATAGATGGGATGATACCCACTCCACATCCTATGTAGGGGGATGAGAGCTGATCTTCTTTATTCAGTGGGCTTGTTCAAATGCTAATCTATTTCCAGAAACACCCTCATAGACACACCCAGAAATAATATTTTGCTAGTTATCTGAGCATCCCATTGCCCAGACAAGTTGACACATAAAATTCCATCACACCAACTACACTATGCCATGGGTAGACACCCAATTTATAGGAACTGAGATTGAAATTTTGTATTATTTTAATCAAGTAACAGTGGTTGATAATTTGTTATGCAGCCCTAGAAAACAAGGACTTGGTGAATATTGAAAATACTTTCTAAATTAAGATTCCCTTTCATCTACTCAGGATGCAGCCCCTTTCTTTTAGTTCTGACATAATATTTTTTGATCCTCATTTTTCTGGGTAGGAGCAATTACTTCATCTCCTTCCCAGAGATAGTCTTGACTTTTCCTTGTTCATGATATTACAGTTCTGATCAAATCCCAAACTTACATTTTTAAAAAATAGCTATTTCTTCTTTTCTCACAGATCAGAGGAAGGAGAGGCAGGCTGATTTCTCAAGGCTTTTCTTTAACACCAGTATTGCCTCAGAAATTCAAACAAATTCCAACATATTTAGAAACAAAATTCTGTTCTAAATCTTTAAATAGTCTTCCGAGCTAACTTGATTCTAGTAACTGACCGTCTCCAGACAACTTCTGAAGAAGGAGGTAGTGGTGTTTATCAGAGAAAGAACTGGGTGGAGACCTTAAAGAGGTAGGGTAAGGGTATGTCCCTGCATGGAAGACGAAAAGAAAAGGAAGAAGGAAGCAGGACAAAGGAGACTGATGACAACAGGGCATGGGATGGTGACCAGGAATTTTTCAGTTTACTAAAGAGGTGCCACCACTTCTTCTTTTTTTTCTTTTTCTTTTTCTTCTTTTTTTTTTTCTTTTTTTTTTTATTGAATGGTAACTATGTATATTAATGCCCTTCTAGGGTACAGTGTGGGGTTTTCACATGCAATCCGAAATACTTCCATCAAACTGGTCAACACAGCCTTCATGTCATTTTCTCAGTTATTGTTTTAAAACAT